GAAACCCAAATTCGTGGGTGTTTGCCAATCCCATTGAGAATTGTCAGTTGTTTTTCTCTATAATGATCAAGTACCTAAACCGCCTAAACCCATCAATCAACCCCCCAGAGTTGGTGGCTTTCAGATCTTTCCCTTGAGGTGGGCTTCCCTGCGGTTCTGAAGCCTGTGCCCGCCACCGAGGGGACCGAGGGTCGGATGGTGGGATTCTTTTTTGGAATCCCCCAGAAATCCATGGAAAGATCCCAATGATCCGTAGATAGACCAATAGCTTTTTCATCTGATTGGTGGTTTGGAAATGTTTGGAACATGAATTTTATTTTTCCATTCAGTTGAGAATAATTCATCATCCCAACTGACGAACTCATATATTTCAGGGGGGTAGGTCAACCACCAACCAGTCATAGTCTTTTCCTCTTGATCTCCACCATGGTTTTTTTAAAGAAACGCATCCCAGGTCCGGCGCAGCGTCGCTGGGCGTGAAGAAGGTGACCAATCCCATGGAGATGGGGAGGTGCCGGTCTCCATCCAGACACTGATTCTGATGCCGGCAGGAACTGGAGGTTGCCCTCTGGTAAACTAACAGTTTGCTATGGAAAATCATGGAAAATCACTATTTTTAATGGGTAAATCCACTATTTCTATGGCAATTTCCAATAGCAAACTGTTAATTTACCAGGTACCAAGTCTAGGTACAAAAGGAACAAACTTTAATCAAAATTGGTTTGGGATGTTTGTGGGTTTGGGGTTTGAAGTTCATTCTTTTGGCACCTTTCCTGCGCGATGCAAGCAGTGCGACCAGGTGTTACAAGGAGATTGTGGACGAATTATCAACTCTCATAGTGCCTCGGATGATCGTGGAAGCACTGGGTATGGGCTATGGGGCTGAATGGGGCTCTACTCTTAGGATGTACTGGGTGTCACATGGTGACGGGCCATGAACGCATTGTCTTTGCGAGGTCTTCTTACTTCCGTTCGCAGCCCATGTGAACTACTGGTTTTGTGGCGTTATTTCAGATCATTTGCCCTCACACCCCAACAGATGTTAGTTGATCTTAGTGTTTGTTTTTTTTTTGTACATATTTACTTGTGATTATATTATAGTTCAAATGTAGATCATATCTAAATCCGCCCACACCGCTTTGGCGGTGAAGGCGTGCTTATTGGGGGGCAACAGCAACACTAAATGCTCAATGACATTTGTTAATATAGCAGTCGCTATATCAGCTTTAGCTGGGGGGGGGGGGCCCAAAAACGGTTTCGCACCGAGACCAGACCCCAAAAACGGTTTCGCACCGAGACCAGAATACGGTGGTGTTTTCGACATTTTTCGAGGATTTTTGGGTGTCTGAGCGCAAGAGGGTATTGAAATGGAATTTTGGGTCATTTTGGTAGCTTTCCGGCAATGGAAAAACGGCCAAAAATGAAAAAAACATTGTACATAGCAAGATTTTGCAGGGTTTTTGGATGCCAGAGCATTGAAAACACTGCAAAAACAAGTGTTTTGGACTGACGTTATAGCAAAAAACGTGTAAATTACCGTATGCTTGACTGGAAACATTACAAAAACACTGTCAAAAGCAATGTTTTGGAAGGATTTACTGCCTTTATGGCAAAAAACGTGTAAATTACCGTCTGTTTGACTGGAAACATTGGAAAAACACTGTCAAAAACAATGTTTTGGAAGGATTTCTTATTGAAACTTCTTAGCTTGAAGAGCCCCCAAGGGGGAAAACCACCCTTAGCCCCTCTCACGGACCGAAATAAACCTGCGGTGTGGGCGGCCACCCCACGCGAAGCGGGGTGAATATGATGTTGATATATATATATATATATATTATAGTTAGTTATTATAAATATATATATATATATGATATTATATAGTATTATATAAATATATTATATAGTTATAGATTATATGATTATAGTTATATATATATACAGAATTATATATACATGTTATAATAGATGGTTCTGATCATGAATTATCATGTACGAAAATGTGTCCACTGTTGTTTCCATTTGTGTTTGATGCGTTTTCCAGCCCCAATGGTCCCCAGGTGAGCTCTGGCGCTCTGGTCCAAGGCCATGCTTTGAGGGGTTCATTGCACCTGGCACATCGTAGGTACATAATGTCATTGTAAACCCATGGTAAAGCCATTAGAAGCCAATAACAAACCTCTATTGGGAGTAGTTTATCATTGGGTTTACCACATGAATCAGAAAATGTGGGAAGATTGACATGAATGGAGGTGTATATAGCGAGAAGTTGCCCTTTTTCGTGTTGGTTTGGGAATAGAAAGTCACTATGCCAGGGATAATGGGAATCATTAGGAGAGATGGCGGTGTTTGTGGTGACATAGAAACTTTGGCGGGCACTCCAAAAGGTCAACATGAATTTCTCTCCCAACCGAAGGACCTGTTGCCCTATTGGGTGTGGCATTGTTTATGAAGTCTTGCAGACTTTGAGGAGATTCTCTCACGTTCGAATCTGTCCAGGTCCGCTTGCTTTCAATTTACATATTTCTTTGTTTTTTCTTACATTCTTTCATTTTCCCGTTTATCTTTTTCTTTCACTGATTATCCTTTCTCCTCTTCTTGTTTACGTCTCCTTTTATCTGGACTTGGACCACCCCTAGCTCCGACCTAGCCTATTGAGAGTATCCGTAGTGGATTTGCATGATTATGCCATGTGTCCTTCCGGTTTGGGTTTTGTGGATGTCTTTGTGGACTTCGAACTGCTGGGTGGCTGTTGACCTCTTGCTGTAAGTTGGAGATTAATTTGAGGCACCAAATTTTGGCATCACTGGGTTGAACCGCGTTGACAACTTGTGTTTGGGGACCCCACAAATGCATACAAATGCCAGACATCCCCTATTCTAGTCTTATCTATTTCTTGATTTGTGCAATTTCACTGCTCTCACTTAGTGAAACTTGTCCCAACTCAATCTCTTTTGACCCCGGGCGGAAACCGCATTGTATAATATGTACATATTGATACATATTGCCGGTGTATATGTATATATATATATGTGTGTGTTATATATGCATATGTGTTGTACTTATATATATATGCGTATATATTATATACACTATGCATGTACACAATAAGATAATTGTGTATATACTCGAAATATAACTATATAAAATTATGTATATATATATATATATACAGTATACATATATAATATGTATAATATAGATAGATAGATCAAATGACACATCTAGTAACTCCATGTATGCCCATGTACCAGCACTAAATTAATCCCGACCCACCACTTGTGAGTGGTTCCGGCCCAAGCAGTTTCGGTGGGCACAGGCAGTCCAGAAAACAAAGGTCAGAATGCCAAGCAGGTGTGGCTGCAACGGTGCCAGCGGGTGTTACTGGAATAGACCTCCAAAGACTGCCAGTCGCCTGGTTCCACAAAGCAGATCAAAATGGCTCTGGTTTAACAGGGATTACTGTACCTATTCTGATTCTATTCCGTCTATCCCTTTATATTCTATATATTTCTATATGCTTACCCGTCTTGCTTATCCCCACTATCGGCTTCTAGCATTGTGCCAGTGCAATCTCCCCATGCATTTGGCATTGCCAACTCAAAATCCTGGACATGACCTTGAGATAGCTGATACATATATGTATATATGTATGAACAAATAAACAAAAAATGAAGCTATGTATATAGTGACTATGATAACTAACTAGTAGTCAGCTTTCCTCATGGTGAGTTGTGATCAGCAAAACACACTATATATATAATAGTCTCTGATAACCAATCTTTTTCCACCCTCCCGTTGCTGCAAAGCGGTAAATTGCCAGTCGGGTGTGGATCTCACAGTGCTCATGGAGCAGTTCTTGGATGGTCCCGAGGTTGACGTGGATGCCACGTGGCAACAATGGGGACATGGGGAATCTCAGCAACCAAGGGAAATCTTCGAAATATTTGGGGCGAATTTGGGGATGTGTGGAATTTGGGTATACATTGGCTATGGGATACCAGCATTGGGAATTCCATAGAATTCCTGTTTCAGAAACTGGAATCTCAGCAGATCTAGAATCCATCAAAGTTTAGCAGGAAGGAACCGGGGTAAATGGACATCATGAAGATAGATGGCACCACTTACCGATGGATTCCTTTCTAAGGGCTTGGTTTTATTGGGAATTGTTGGAGGAACATGAGGAGGATGGGAATCACACCTGGCACCCCAACAAATGGGTGAACTTACAACGACCTCACAACCACCTTGCTAGAAATGATGGACAACAATAAGGACGTCCCAGCATGGGTGAACTTTAGAGTTTTGTGAAGTTTGCTGCCAAACCGGGGTGAAAATGCAGAGTCATGCTATAAAAACGGTATGTCCCCCAGCGGCTTGGTGATGGGAAAACGCTCAAAATTAGACAAGTAGAGGCTTCAATACATGGCCAAATCCTGGGTCACCGAGGTCGTCATGTCCGAAGGCCGGCAGAGGGAAAGATTGGGGTGGATCTGGGGGTGGCTCAAAATGAATGACCCCTGAATTTGGATGTTTAAAGTGAAAAATAAACAAAAGAGATTGTGTGGGTCCATAACCGAAATTTTGGGCACACATGGGTGATATAACCAGAGCATATCAAAGGAATTGTTGGCTTTTAATCCAGTTTCTGGTACCCACGTCCGACCAATTCCCAAGCATTTGAGCAAAGCTGGGCAACTTAAGAATCTTGAGTTCAGAACCTGGCCTGGTCTGGAGCGCTTTTACAGATGTTTAACATGGTACTAGATGGTACTGGCATGATCCTTGGGAGTTAGTAGATGATCAGTAAGTCAGTAAGTGGGGTGCAACCCCTTGTACCTGGGATATTCTCAGGGTGCACCCCAGGTACTTTGCATATGCTGTACTAATTCTAGGAGTCAATCATCATTTGATTAATTGTCACAGTATGGGACCAACCTCAATTGGCTCAAGAGTGTTGAAGCTCACAACCCGCCGAGTGACGAATCATTGCACCAGACGCGATGTCATTGGGTGCGAAGGAACTGCTGGATGCTTCATTGATTTATTCCTATGTGTGCCATGGTCGGAACTGGTAGTATTTGAACGTACATTTGGTTTTGGTATTCTCTTACTGATCTTACTGTACCCTCTGGGGGCACGCAACCTTCAAATAATTTCCATATTGTCCTATGCATTTTTGCAGCGTGACTTCAGACTTCGCGGAACTGGAAACTGCAGTTTGAATCCCACTTATCATCTCTTATATTAGCTATGTAGTAGGCTGTGGAATTCTCATCAATGATCATCAACACTCATATCTACACTATCAGCCTGGGTTGACTAGTGATATGTTGGGGCTGTGTGATATCAATCGGCAAACTTACCCCCGTGAAACCAAGGCTTGCTGCCATGGTCCTCTTGGGTGGTGTGATCGGTTTTATCAAGGCCAAGAGCAAAGCGTCGCTGATCGCAGCTGGGCATGGGGATGGCGAGGGATGGCGGGATGGGTGAAGGTGATGGAACTACAGTATATATATTATATATAGTATATATAATATATATATATAATATATATATAACATCACCACCCCTTGAAGGCTACCTTTCGGGGGGGGGACCATACCAAAATGTAAGGTACATTTTTTGGAACCCCCCCTTAAATGTAAAATTGGTCGCCGAACGTCTCCCAGGTGTTGTTTTTGTGGAGAAGGTCTTGTAAGCTTACATTTTCAAGGCCCCCCTCAAAAACACCTTGAAAAATGTAGCTTACATTTCGGGTACGTCCCCCCTGCATCCCCTCCCCTTAAAACGACCGATTATATAATATATTATAATATAACAATATATATATATATACATAATCACCACCCTTTTCGTGGGGTGTAAGCATGGGGGACTCTAAAAAATATAAGCAACAATTTTGACCCCTTCGTATTTTTTCCCGATGGGGACGGTATGTATGTTAGACCCCCCAGTCAAAAACCGAGCCCCGGAAGATTTCCTGTACATTTGGAGGGGGGGTCGAAAGTCCGTAATTAATAGATACGCCCCGCCGTACTCTACGGATAGTGGGGGGGAAGATAAAAATTGTTAAATGTCCGCAAGCAGTTTGTAAACTGTTTGTGAGGTGTCTTTGTGGGGATGTAATCAACCTATGTCTGAGGTCCATAGTTCCTTGCAGAAAGTGCTCGAAAAAGAAGGTAAGACTAAGATAGAAACATGTAACCAGCCTACACCTGAGGATAAATCATGATTTAAGATTAACAAACTTGAAACCTCGCACAAAATATAAAACACCAGTTCAGCACCTAAATGATCTCAAATGGACCTCAAATGGACCTCAAATGGACCTCATGAAACTTTATGGGGTCCCCATGTTAAGCCCCCTTTATGTACCTACATGATTGTCTTAGTTACAGCTGCATTCCATTGTTCTCCAGGTAGGAGGTAAATTTGAAGACCTTCAACATCTCATTTACTTGAAGTTCAAGGATTTTCCAGTAACTTGCAAGGAATAATATACCTTCTATACCTCTATGTTACATGTGGAAATGATAAAAAAAGGTGCAGAAAAGGTGTAGAATTTTTTGGACATACCAAGCAATCGGGGTCCTACACTCTTTTAGTTTGCATTTTTGATTTTCTGCAATTCTGCAGCTATGCAGACCTTCACACTATAATTGTTTGCATTTGTTTTCATTCTCTTGCATGTTTTTTTTCAAAAATGCAATCTTACATTTTGAACGCCCCCCCCTGCGCTTTTTAAGAACATAAATAAAATCCCGTAAAGAATGAGGGGACCTACTAAAAGGAAATTTTGCAAATAGAACGTAGTTATAAAAATAAATGCTTGCTGACATTTACCAGGCCCCCCTCCCTCAAAAACGTCTAAACTATGTCTTGCAATTTGGGTACGTCCCCCCCCTAAAAGGGTAGTTACTATATATATATATATGTGTGTGTATATACACACATGCAAATTATATATACGGAGCCATGGAGAGATAGAAAGCTGATGAACATTGGTTAACACCTCAAATAATTGATGCACAGTCAAAATCAGATGCTTTGCTGAAGTAGAAAAGATCTGATGTGCGGTTGTTTTGGAGCCCAAAGCTTGAGCCGGTTGTATTTATCCGTCCACTTTCCTGAAAATTGTGACTCAAGTTACTCGTAATATACTCACATTTTGGATTGGCACATAGGTGTGCGATGGTGTGCGCACTTCTGCCATCTCCAGTACAGCCACAATCGTACCTATCAATATACATGACTTGCACATACACGGCACAGAACAGTTACTGTATGTTACTGTATTTTGCAATGTACAGTATCTATGTGATCGATTGTAGAAAGGTTTGAGAACGTAGTGATACGCGACCACAGCCGAACCCAGTGTTTTTGGGTACCCAAGTTCCAGCGCAACGGCCCTAAGGCAAGCACTTGCGTTGCAATCGCCATTTTGGCGCTGGATTACGTGACCCTGAAGGTGGGTTTTCACGGTGGGCCGATGAATTCCACCTGTAAAACAATGCAAAGACCAAGGATTGTGCTTGGAAGTTTTGAAAACTGGTTAGCATCATAAACAGATTGTGAATATGTTGTGTGGCTCCTTGGGAAATGAATTCTAGTGTCCATGTGGTTCGTACTCATATAGCTGGAGAGAACTGGTGTTTATGAATGTTCATCCACCCCAAAATGGAAAATCATACGTAGACCAATCCCCAAATCAGGAATTATAGGAATTGCTAATGAAAACAGTGGTGAATCACACCTGTGTCAGATGTTGAAGCCGGTGAATGACGTGTGGAAAAGTTCAGGTCAGCTGTATCTATGGCCAAAGTTTGCAAATAGCTCTCAGCATCTCTCTGATGCTGGGCTGCGTATGTTGAAATTTTTGGGCTGAGTCAGGTGCGGGCTATCTGAAAGTGATAGATAATGACCAAAACATGTTACCAATCCTAGACAATATCCCATTCCCATCAATATGTCCGATATATGAAATATGGACTAAATATGGTACTGTACCATCCCAATCAATGTCAATGAATAATATATCAATATTTCGAATTTCCACATCCTGGGTTCGGTCCGGGCGATATTGTAGTTTCCAACGAGAATGCAAAGACGCAACCCAGATTTGGATCTCCCCAAGCTCCGGAGCCCCAGGACCTTGATGTTCCGAGGGAAGTACCAGGCTTCAGGGAAGGACTTGGAAGAACCCCTGGCAGGAGCTCCCAAGAGGATCCTCAACCGGCTGAAAAGGGGGCGTTACTAACGAGCCCGCTATGGCTGAAACCACCAATGACTTAGGAGATAAAACCAACCAAGATTATATGCAAGATGTGTGTTTTGCCTCAAAAATGGAAATGAATCCGTACATGACGGGAGATGATGGGAGCTTTAGAAGCAAGCAATGGGATGCGTGAGCCACCAAGAAGTGGGGAAAACTATATAGACACTGGTCCATTTGTCTGATATTTGTATACTTTGTTTCAAGCTGGTAAAGTCTTCAGTTGAGCGTTGATGTGACCTGTTTTTCACGGGGTTGAGACCATCAACTACTTTCTTGTCGCTGGGCCGGGCCTGCTGATTTCCTGAGGAAATTCATGCCCTTCGGACTGCTGACCATGATGTGACCTGACAGCCAATACCTGGCGACGGCACCTGATTTGAGTCGCCACTACATGGGAATCCCAGGACCAGAATCATTGGGCCCATGTGTATTTTTAGGCTGACTCCAACCCCGAGATCAAATTGGTGAGTCACGCAGACCACACCCACTATTTCAAAATATTTCAAATTTCCGACTAGTGCACAATATGATATCAATATGATATGCTTATCTCAGTGCAACCTTCCTGCACCAAGAGAAGGACTGCTTATGAGTTGGGATAGGCAACGCCGCTAGGATGAAGCGATGTGTTTCAAGAACTGAGGGATCAAGGTCACATTCATGAAAACATATTTAAGATGCCGAAAAATCAGCATGTACACAACAATAGACTTCGCTTTGACAACGTACATTATAAATCATTACAATGTATATACATGTATATACATTGCAATGATATATGATGATATATGATGTACGTGCATACACACTTTGCCGTGTCTCCGTACAATTTTCTACATGATATGGGCTTCTTTTGAGACTCTTTCGCTCTTTAGTTTCCACCAGAGCCGGTCGCCAGGTGTGCTTTTTCGGTTGCGCTTCTTGGTTGCAGTTGGTTGCATCACCTGTGATTCCAAATCCTGCTGCTCCCCACAGGCAGCTGCTGGGGCGATCATACTAAGTAATTATAGAAAATACTATACGTATAATAATGATATTGTGGTTGCAGATCCATTCTTCTTGATCAACATCCTCGTGTTTCTTTTCCATTAATTTGTTTGTTATGCACACATCCATATGTTTGTAGGATGTTGTAGGTTCTCCTGAGTGAAATCGTAAGGTTTTTGTTGAAACATATGTCTCAAATGCCATCCTGTGCTACAGATCATCTTGTGGCAATAACGGTATCAGCGGTATCACTAGGCACAACTTGACATGGCGTGCAAGGTTGACATCTTGCGCTGTGTACTACAAAGTGAAAGATTGAGTCGTGACAGTCGAGAGATAGTCAGATAGTCTTGCCACAGTCTTGCCACATGCACATTGTGATGACGGTTTTCAAGACATTTCAAGACATTTCAAGACTCAACTCCTTTACTCTTCAGGTTTTGAAAGTCGTTGTTGGAACTGTTGTTTTCTTGTTTTTCAAGTGATGATGGCAATTTGTATGACCTTGTGAAATGCTGTTATCTGCCGTCCAGCTGGTGTAGCTGGAAGGCAGAAAGTGAATAGATTTTTGTCTCAGCGTTCAGGTCCTAAATTTTGGACCGGATCTTAGTTTCAAAGGACTAAGTGCCTTTTATCGAACGGCAACGGCCTGGAGATCTACCGGGAAAATCAATTGGTGTTCTTTACTCGTCACTTGGGAATTCGGGAGGCCCCGTTTGCAGAGCAAATAACAACAAATAAGATATATCCACATATTATACATTATATATATATATGTATATACTGTATTACAATTATATAATGACCTGCACCTTGGTCTACCAGACAGTAGTAAGCCTTCAAAGGTGCACCAAATATCTCAGCAAATGGATGGGATCTCCAGTGCGAGGTGAGCATCGCTATGCTTGCGTTTCGGACAACGGACCAACGCTGGAACCCTACTTTAACGAGCTTCTTGGCAGCCTTTACGGTGATGGTGCGAGCAGGCTGAATCAGGGCGTTAATCTTATTAATCTTACACATGCTACATTTATAGCCAACAGTTCCTAATTGGTGCTGAATATGAGTGACGGTTTTCCAGCCGAATATGAGGATGATGATCCAAAATCTTTTTTTTTTCAGGCTGAAACCATTTGAAACTTTCTAGTAGTCCATGTAGTTAGTTTTATCAGCTGTGTTTTCGAGATGGGGTGGCTATATGTGATCTGTGGCGTCTATGGCATTACGCTTGGCGTAATGTTTGCGGGTTGGATTTTGTATGAGCTTCTAGTCAAATTAAATCGTCAGAGTGACATATAAGGTTTAGAGTCTTTAGCGAAGCTGTGCCAGATTTATCAGACATGGTCATCGTCCATGGAAACTGGTTCAGTAGGGAAATATGAATTCGCAACCAATCTAATTTTGCTTCCAGCTAAAATTTGAGATAGGGTGTGAATTATATGTAGATGTTCGAGTCTGTATTGAATGTGTTTGTACGTGTACATAATATCCGTAGATATCCATGGAATTTCATAGATATCCATAGAATTTCATAATATCCATAGAATTCCATAGATATCCACAGAATTCGATGTTTGCTTTACTAGAACTCAAAGTGCCAGGTATCTCCACATGTTTTTCATGCGTCAGGACGTGGGCGTGTTGCCCATCACTTCTTCCGAAGGCAGAACACGTTGGGAGACGGTTGGGATTTGGGCGCCAACAAGCGGTGGTGGTTGATTGAGACATAGGTAAGTAGAGAAATGGATAGTAATAGTGATATGCTAATCTCATACTAGTGACTATCTGGCTAATTCCATCTATCTACCAGCTAATCAACCAGATATCATGGATTACGTTGTCAAGATAATATGGACATAGATGGATTGACAATGATTGATATAGAATGATATAGAAGGGTATACAATGGTATAGAATGGTATAATTAGAATGGTATAGAATGGTATAGAATGGTATAGCTGTACATACCACAGCACATTTGCAGCGCTTTTGCAGCATCCAAAATGATCTGTTTAGTTGATGCCTGATGGTCTCATGGGGATCCAAAAGTATCCCAAATAATATGGTGGAATATCCAGTTTCAAGATGTTTTCTAAGTAAAAAATGATGAATTTTTGATGGACTTAGATCTTGATGGGATCATGTTCATAAAATGTTTGGAATATTGGAATAGCCAGACATAGCGATTGACCAAAGGGGTCCTCCATCGAGATGGACTCCACAGGACAAGCAGGTGGCCCTCAGAGACTTGGCCGTGGAATGCTGCTTGGCAGCCATTTTATGCGCCATGCACAATGTTCTGGTTTAGTATGGGATAATGATGGTTAATGATGGTTAATGATGGTTAATAATAGTTAATAATGGATAATAATCACTGGTTGGTGGTTTGGAACATGAATTTTATTTTCCATATATTGGCAATTTCATCATCCCAACTGACTTTCATATTTTTCAGAGGGGTTCAAACCACCAACCAGAATTACATTGACACTATAGATGTATATATAGATGATCTATTATAGATGTATTATGCATGTTCCAGATGTGGGGATGTAACATTGCATAAACCTTAGACTCTAGACCACCAGCACAGATAGGTTTGGAATTCTCTACAATGTTGTGTTGCCTTGTTTTGCCATTCACTTTTGTATTTGCATGGTGTTGCTAAATCTTACTTTCTTGATTGTTCCTTGACTTTCCTCGAACATGTGTTTATATGTACATACACACATATTCAAAGAATCTCATGCCAACCGAAGAGACAAAAGAACCGACCTGGCCTGGCGCTGGTGTCGTCCGATTCGTGGCAGCAACTGGCGCCAGCCCAGGCATCAAAGCGCTGGGCTTTACTTCGGGTGTTTTCCATGTGGAGTATTTTGGATGCAGCTGGGTAGGCGAAGGCGATGTCATGGGCCGGCAAGTGCTGCCCAGGGTGGAATATCTTGGAATCAGTGCTCGTTTCAGTTCTGAGGTATAGTGATGAGTGATTTGAACATTGTTGAAACATTAGTAATGAATATTAATGAATGTTCAATCCCTGCTTGGAAAGCGGATTCCACTTGACACAGATATACATTTGTGACAGGTGCCTCAAGCACCAGCTAGATCGAATTGGCCCAGCAGATTCCTAAAGTGTTGGTGCTGTAGTTACATCTCGCACAATTTTACATAATTTATAGCATCCAAATACAGCCAATATTATTAGCTCAAACGAATGCACCATAAGTTTGGAATGAATTGGCCGAATAAAGGAGATAGATGGACAACCACCAACAGCGGTCATCAGAAATCGTGCGCTGGTGGTAAAGATTTCTCCCCGTTTGGTTTCCCAACATGAAGGGGAGCCCCAGCTATCTTTATGTCAGCAGTGGGAAGCTTGGAACTCTGAGGGTGGAACCTTTTGTCCCGTGCACCCGTACCATTCACCTGCAAAGATCACCCATTTCAATTGACAATTCTTCATGTTTCCTACATGTCATGATATGTCATGATATGTCTATGTATTTCCATATATTTCCATATATTTCCATTCTTGGGTAAGGTTGGGTACATCCCCGGTTGCCACTAATAGCGCGACGGCAAAAAAAATTGCCGCTTGGATCCACCGAGGTGCAAATATACATCGCACGGGCCACATTTAATCGAGGTCTGGGTGTTTTGTTCGGGGGATCTCTGGGTGTTTTGGAGGAGTTTCCTACAGGTTTTGCATTTTTTGGTTTTGCTGATTCAGTGATTCCAACAGTTTTTTTTTGTGGGGACCCCAAATCGATATGTTTCCCCGTAAAGAATAACCCAACAATGCTCCACCATATTTTAGACTGGTTGTCCTCACTGGCCAATACATGTAGGAGGGGTTGAAGCCACTTTGAACAGGAAGACTGGAGAAGGATCACCATCCAAGAAAAGGGCATTCGGATGAAAATGGTAGGTATGAGAGGACCTTTTTTTTTGCGCGGATGCCTATATAGACATTCAGTCTGTATTTGTATAGTCATACTTGGATTTGTAGGCCTGACAACTTACCTTTGTGCAGATCAAACAATGGTCACCAATCCGCAAAACATCATCGGCCCGGACAAGACTGACTGCGGGGCATGTACTTACACACCTTGGACGATCGCGAGGAGTAAAAAGTGCATATACGAGACACACCAATCATATATATATATATAGCATTGTTGTTGATAATTATCCCGATTCCATAATCCCATACTTGGGGATGACATCCATTCCTATTCACCGCAGGTGAATGCGCGCATGGGTGGAGGCGCCTCCACGGGATTGGGTCCCTTTCCAGTTGTGATTTACAATCAGCTTTAGGATTCACCCAGGATCAAGCCCAATTGGGATCCCAAT